TGTCGTGATCATAACCAACTATCTCTCGCAACCCTGACCGGTAGGTTTCCACTCTGGCCCTGGAAGGGAAAAGATGCAATATGCTTAAGACTCGTCAACATTCACAGCTCGCCCATAGGTAGGTTTCCACTCCTATGGTTGATCAGCTCTTCTCAAACTAGATCCAGCCCCGGATAAATACTTTCGCAACACCAAGGACCTAGATCAGTCTCTAGTTCGCGACGCTAGATCCATGCTATAAGTATAAGTTTAGAAGAAAGATTTCTAGAATTTGGCTTTGATTTATCTCGCGAAGATCCTTATCGAACATAGTTGATTCCCTTCGATCGAGCCTTTAAACTCATACCTCATCATTCCAAAACGTGCATAAAGTAAATAGAAAAGACGTGCATAGATTAATAAGAAGAAAGAAGTAGAGAAAAACAGACAAGGAGAAGAAGAAGAAGCATCTCGATTTCGAGATCTAAGCTCGGAGAAAACTTCTCTTCAAATCCTTTAAACAACTAATCTAATATGAAGAAGACAAAAACGAAATTGAAAGATGCATAGGAGTAAAAACCGAATTAAAATAAAGGTAGAACATAAAGAGGGTTCAAGAGAAATCTCTATCTCCCTAACTATGAACTAAGAACATAAAAACATAAAAACCCTAAAAACTAAATTTGGTGGCTCCCAAAAGGGATTCTTCTGAGGCACACGAAAATAGGGCTGCTTAGATACATATTTCTAGGTCTTCAACTCTCTCCAGTCGTCCTTAGGGTTTTCTATGAAGAGAAGACGAATTGGACTTGAAACAGGGTCATGGGCCAGCCTTTTAGTCGGCCCTGGTCGCGAGGCTTGTGACCGCGGTGAATTGGGGTTTCGCCGCGGCCAGACACTTGTGACCGTGGTCAAGAGTGTGTTCCCCGCGGTCGTGGCACCTGGACCCGCGGAGATTGGTCTTTGAGGTTGAATTTTCATCCTGTGCTTGCTTCCTTCGCGAGACTGCAGAACATGTCTTCTTCAGTGCATCAAGGATATCCGGAGATCTAACCATTGGATTGCCTTCAAACAAATTGCATTTGAAAGCTAGTTGTCTCCTTTATATTAGTTCCAATTTTGGGGATGATCAGACGGTGAGAGGGTCTCCATTGAATGTTAAACTTCTGACAGCCTGAATTTATCCAAAATGATCTTTTGCTCCAAAACGCACACCTTTTGCCTTAATAACCTGAAAAGAGTCTTGGAACTACAAATACTAGAAAATAATAGTAAAAACACTTTAAAGAAATAAAAAATATTTGAAAATCATTTAAAATCGATCCACAAAAGTGGTCAAAGTACGGTGTTATCAAAGTGCAACCGGTTGCATATTACAGTGAGAAATTATCTGGTGCATATTATAGTACTTATGACGTGGAGTTCTACGTTATCGTCCAAGCGATCAAGCATTGGCGTCATTGTCTAGTGCAACGCGAGTTTGTTTTGTTTACCGATCAAGATGCCTTGTGCCATCTCAACAGTCAGGTTAAAGTTTCAGTGTGTTGTGCTAGTTGGATCTCCTTCCTTCATAAATTCACTTTCTTGATTCATCATCAGTCAGGAAAGTTGAATCAGAGTGGCTGATGCTCTAGCAGGCGTCATTCTTTTCTTACAACGATGCATACATTGGTAACTGGATTCACGTCTTTTGCTGATCTTTATGCATCTGATCCTTTCTTTGCTTGCATTTTTTGGAGGCCGAATGGGGAGATTTGATACAATCTTTCCTGAGTTGTATAAATAGTCGACATTAGTCCTTTGTACAGATACTTATGAATTGATATTGAAATCTATTAAGAGCTTTTACAGCACTGTCAAGAGTATTCTCACCCTTTTATCTTCGTTCGCGTTTTCTCCTTCTAATACGAGAATGAACTTCAGCTTGGGATTGATAGTTCGTCGATCCCCTGTTGATTATAGCTTTCACTACTCTACAATATATACATATGAATTTATGCGCATACCAAAAAAAAATTATGAATTCAAGATAAATAATCTAGACGGAATAACAAACAATTTTGACTTACGAATTTTTGATACTGAAATGGTAATTCATTCAAGAATGTATAATTTCAAAAATAAACAAAAATCCGTTTTTCGTAACAAAATAAGTATATGTCCCTATGATGGTAACTAAAGACCCATGATAGCAATTAAGAGTTGACCGTGGTGGACTTGCTTTGAACACTACTTTTATAAATAGAAGAGAACATTAACAAGAACAAAAACAAAGAGTTAAAGACATAAGCCCTTCCCTCTCTTGTTCTAATACAAAACAATACTCAAAAAATGGAGCGTGGAAAGCGGATGATGCAGCCTGAAGCCGATTTTGATCTGAACATGGAACCAGTGGAAAGAGAAGGAGAGTGTAAGAAGGCAAAGAAGGCTAGGATTTTCGAACTTGAAGCTGAACTCGATCATATGATAGTACCATAAAAAAAAGAGACTACAATACGTAACAAGGTAAAGTAATGTTCGTGTAATATTTTTTGTTTTTCAATATTATTGTTCGTGGCAATTATAAATAATATCAGCTTTTCTGTTGTATTTATTAAATCACCGGAGTTTTTTGTTTTTGGAAAGTATGACAAAATTTATGTTTTAGAAACGGTTCTTCATTGTTTATATAATTTCCAAATAATTTAAGAATTACTGCTTAAATTTTAGGTTCTATTCATAAGGCTTAAATTTTGTGTTTTTTTTTTTAGCATATTTTTGATTTTTAAATATTTCAATTTAGGGGACTTTTTAATATTTTTTCTGATAAAAATTAATTTAATTTATTAAATTTAGGAGTTGATGAAGATGTTGATAGAATACATTGGAGAAAACGAAATGCCTATTAAAATCGAAGAACGAGAAAAAGAAAAAAATCACAAGTTCGTGGAAATCAATAATAGTTCTGAAAGAATTAATAAATATGGATCCGGAGGTTTTTTCAACTGTGATTTCAGATAATAATAAGAACTACTAATATACTAAGATGATGACTAAATGGTGTATCGATTACCAGACGATCGTATTGAAGACCAATATGGGCCCAACATAAAGGTACTGCTAGCTACTTGGAAATTGAAAACTCCCCAAAGATAAAGCACTTTATTTGGCAAGCTTTATTGGGATGCTTTTTGGTGCCAACTCGACTTCACATCCGGGGAATAAACTATGACACACAATATGTACAATGTGGAGCAGAGAAAGAAACAATCAACCATGTTTTATTTGAATGTCCCCCTGCTTTACAAATATGGGCCTTATCAAAAATCCCAACACCCCTAGGCGTATTTCCAATGACATCGGTTTATGCTAATTTTGTTCACTTATTCTAGAGGCTACCAAAAGAGATAACAAATACACAATTCCCATGGATCTTATGGTATATCTGGAAGGCAAGGAATGAAAAGGTATACTCAAATATTGATACAGACCCACAAATTATCTTGAGAATAGCAGAAACAGAAGCAGCATTATGGGAAGAGGTGCAAAAATCTAAACAGCAGATAAAATCCATAAATAATGGAAATTCAATGGTCTACTCATCATCGGTGAGTTATGATGGCTGGTGGTGTTATATTGATGGTTCATGGAAAGATACGGATTCTATATCGGGATTAGGCTGATACTATTTCAAAGACGGAGCTATGGATAAAATAATGGGAGCACAGAATGTAAGACGGAGCCTTTCAGCTCTGCATACGGAGGTAGAAGCCCTTATATGGGCTATGCACTGCATGATAGGGAATCAGAAAGCGGCTGTAGCTTTTGCAACGGACTGTAAGGAGCTGGTGAAGATGGTGTCTGCACCCTAAGAATGGCCAGCATTTACTTTACACTTGGAGGAGATCGCGAAGATGAAAGACCCTTCACTATATTACACATACCACGTGTGAAGAACTCAAAAGCGGATATTCTAGCAAAGAGCGCTAGAGCTCACCCACAAGATGTTATTTATGTAAACTCGATATCTCCAGTTTGGATAACCCAACCGTTCTAGGCATCTAGGCTGTCGACAAAAAAAAAGAAAAAAAAAATGACTATTGAAATATATATGATCAATTTGTTGTTTGTTTCTTTCTTCAAATTTCTCATGGAACAATTTCGGATTTAATAATGGAAGGAAATCATGTTGTTATCTTATGTACTGGATTTTCATAATCAATAGAAGTGTTTTGTTTTAATGATTAAAAACTTAATTATACAATCATGTTACAGTACATATACACTAAAACGAACAATGCAGGATATATATATATATATATATATATATATATATATATAGATTTTCATTTGTTTAATTAAATACAAAAATAATTATTATTATTTGGATTCTCATTCAATTTCAAATAATTTTTATCTACATATCATGTGAAACATATTTTAGACATGTAAAATAATTATAACTCAACATATCATGATATGTGTTATTGTTAACTTTGATCTTGATATTTCAATGTAATAATATAAATTTTTCTATATCAATTATTTATCTCGAAAGGAAATAAAATAAATTATATTTTTTAAAATGAAAATTATTAAATAGAAAGTTAAAATAAAATAAAAAAAAAACAGAAATTACCATTTAATGAAAATCAAGTTTTAGCAAACTGATCATTTGTTTAGAGAATTTTTTGTGAGATTATTGATAATATGGATTAATTTCTAATTTCTTAATTACAAATCATAAAATATAATTTGTTAATAACTTAACAGGATCTTAATTTTGAATCTAATTATATGAATCATAATTTCAGAAAGTATCAATCTAAAATCTATATATATATATATATATAATTGTGGTTATATATTACAATTGCATATTTTTATTTTGTGTTTGGTGAGATTAATAGACAAAAGAAACCATCAATTGGGTTTTACCAATACCACTTTGCTACATGACTTCATTTTCTTTCATATATACCTAATTCACACTACTACTTTTTATTGCAAGAGGAATTATGATATAAATGCCTTGCTAGATGTTCTTCAAGAAGTTTGAAACATGGAAATTAAAGAGTTAAACAAGTGATTAGAGTATCACAGACACAATGATTTACATGTGAACATAAGAAACACTAACCACAAAACAACCACGGCAAACCACCTCGAAGATAGGAACCAATTGACACATTATGAAGATCAAACAGGTTGTGTATAGAGCAAACATTATCAAACGAGAATACATTATAATCTTAGTTCTTAGTCTGCATGCATGTCCATTGAAGAATCAATAGAACCTGGGGAGTTAGATCCCCTGTTCAGTTCACTGCTTCTGGTTGCGCCAGATATGTAGCCTCCCTGCGGAATTTGGTAGTTCTGAAGACTGCGGCGTACAGGACTCGAGAGTGCGTTTGAGAAAACCGAGTTCTTCGCCTGATTTTCACATTGCTCAGACCGAACCACTGGAACAGCTGTTGGGCAAGACGTGCCTGAAGAGGTCATGAGCCCGGAATTAGTGACATGCATTGTTGGTTGAGGTGGTGGCGCTCTCGGGGACATTGAGGGCTCCTCTATGCAGCATTCGAGCTCGTTCTGCATAAGGAAACCAGAAACTCAATCAAGAGCAGAAAACATATCTAAACAGGATTCCAAGTTAGACAGATAGATAGACAGAGGTCATACGCACCTGAATATAATTGATTATATCCATAGTTGTCACTCTTGATCCTCCTTCTTGTTGCCTCCATATCCATTGGTACAGTTTTTCCTGAAACATGGGAGATGAGCAGAACATTCTCATCAGGATATTTTTTCCTCTTTAATTGTGTATCGCTATTATCTTCACCTGGAGCTGCCACAGAGCCTCTTTTGTCTTGGGCTAAGTATAAATAAAACTAAGCAAGAGTCGCATATTTTTATACGTTTCTATCAAACCATACCCTGTTTAACATATTTATTTCGCGGAGAATGTTCATCTTCCAAGTAAAAGTTTCAAATCACAAAACAATTCATCCACATATCAAGTAGAATTTCAGTATACCATAGAAAGACAAGAACAGACAACATGATGTTACTCTAGTCGTCAACATCTTATAGTCAATAAGATACAAGCAAACTCAATATAGCGGAGACCACCGCATACAAGAAAATACTTACCCTTTCCTATGACGACTAGCTTTCAATTCACGTAGCTATACATGAAATGTTAGCAGTTAGCACTAGAGTTGAAGCAAAAGAAAGAGGTAGGGAAGGGTGGGGAGTTCTAAGATTCGTTATGTTTATAATCGGTTATGTCATATAGATGAAGAAACATAGTGATGCGAGGTGAAAGTTGGAAACCCTTCAACATAGGTAGGAAAGAAGGCCTCCAGAAAATCTTGCACCTTGATTCCTTTCCATCATCAAGCTTCATATCCTTTTTTTTTCCTTTCTCAACTTGTTCTCAACTAATATATGGTTTTAATAACTATTTAGACGGAACAAAAGATAAAAAAAAAGGAAAGGTAGGTCTGAGGGAGACTCAACTTTGTAAAAAAAGAAAAGTCGTTAAAAAACTAAAGCACAATGTGTCAGTAAAGGCTGATGGAGAGGTACAGCGAATTAGCACCCTAAAGAACAACATGAAGAAGACGAAGGAGCAATTTAAAAACAAAAAAAAACTCTTGTTTATGAACAGGAAATGTAAGGACTAAGGAGGGAGTATACTTTAAACATATAGCAAAGGACCGACTATAACTTGATACAAGCTACAGAATCAGACATCTCACCCAGTCTTTACTACCAATAATAAAAAAAAAAACCATAAAAGAAGAAAGAAAAACAAGCTTTCACTTCTTTGGCTTTGGTTTCATTGGTAAGGTGACAAAGGCACTTTCAATCAAAAGGGAACGAAAGAATCATTTTGTATCGATACATGTTTGGCTCCCCACAAGAAGCAAGATGAAAAACAAAGTCTGGCTCCCCACAAGAAGTAAGATGAAAAACAATTGGAAAACTACAAAACACAGAAAATCTTTTGCAGTGTTACTATTGGAAGATTAACACATAGATTGTACACGAAACACCAAAAGCATAATGCAAGATATATTCAACAATAATAACAATACTATACACGATTACACAGTAATGGAAAGTAACAACTTTGGCTAAAAAGCCAAAACTACAAATTTTCATATTAACTGGTCTCAAGCCATGTTCAAGATTAATCAATAACTGTACACGAAACAAAATATATAGTTGTTCACTCATAACAATACTAAATAGATTTAGCAGAAGAGACAAAACTAACAAATTTTGCCTAAAAATCAAAATTTGGAATCAACAGAAACAATGCAAAGAGTCTCAAGCCATGTTCAAGAAAAATCAAGAAGAAATTTGTGGCTCCCCACAAGAAGTAAGACGAAAAACTATAAAACACAGAGAATATTTTGCAGTGATACAATTTGGAAAACCAATGTTATCACAAGGCAGAATAACACATACATTCTACACTAACAACAATACTATACACGATCAGACAGAGATGAGGAAAGTAACAACTTTGGCTTAAAAAACTCAAAACTACAAATTTTCATCGTAACTTGAAATCACCAGAAACAGTTGCAAAGAGTATCAAGTCATGTTCAAGACAAATCAAATCGTATAAGACTAAGCTCAGAAATCGAAATCGGTCAAATTGAATTAACCCTAAGAAAAAAGAATCATAAACAGTCAGAGAGAGAGAGAGAGAGAGAGAGTGGAAAAGGTTAAATCTTTACCAGACCATGGCGTTCACCGGCTTGGAAGGATAGTTTCTGGTGGTTCATGGACTGAGTGTAAAGCTGAGATAAAGAGTTCGCGGCGGTTCGAAATGAGGCGTAAACAGTCCGATCTACCTCATCGAGGCTCGTCGCTGTAGATTTTCTCTTCTTCCCCATCTCTTCTCTTCTATAATCGCTCGAATTGGGTTTCGCCTAAATTGGACGGCCACGATTTCTCCGTCGGCGATGAACGGATGGTCGTTATCTCTGGAACCCTCTCCAGTATCGATCGGCGATTTTTGATAAATTATAAGGAGAAGATTTGGGACAAAGAAGGCACTTCTCTCACTTTATACGAAACGGCAAAGACCAAGAAGGTTTTGTTTTTTTTATTATTAAATCCAAATATGTGTTTTTTTATTTTATTTTAAATATAAGTCTCTTTTTATGTATTATATAAAATAAGTGAGTATATATATGTTTATATGTATATATATATATATTATTTAATTTGGAAGAGAAGGAAGTGAGAAAGGGACGAGAGGTAAGTGAGAGAGAGAAGATTGATGAAGAGTGTTTCTTATTTCACTCGTCTGAAAGTTGATTTCTTTACATAACATGAAGGTCTATTTATAGACTAAGAGAAAACTTATAATAATAAAAGTAAGTCGGTAAGAGTAAATATCTAAAAGTATAAGACGGTGAAAAAGTGATGAGGATAATTATCCTTTTTAACACTCCCCCTTAATTATCCATCATCGTTAACGTATTACGTATTGCCTCGTTAAAAACCTTATCATGGAAAAACCCAATAGGATAAAAACCATGACAAGGAAAAAAGAGTACAATAACGTAATCTCCCCCTGGAATGATGGATATAACGTTTTCTCTTCATAAATCCCGTAAATAACGCATTCCGATACTTTGAATATGCTTTCTGAATACTGTAGTAGGAAGCGCCTTTGTAAAGAGATCCGCCGCATTTTCACATGAACGAACATACTGGATATCGACTTCTTGATTCTTCTCGAGCTCTTGAGTATAAGAGAAAAATCTTGGAGGAATATGTTTCGTTCTATCACTCTTGATATAGCCTTCTTTTAGTTGAGCAACACATGCAGCATTATCTTCGAACAATCTTGTCGGTTCTTTGTTAATGGCTATTCCACTTGCTTCTTGTATATGATGAGTCATAGATCTGAGCCATACACATTCTCTACATGCTTCATGAAGCGCAATAGTTTCTGCATAATTTGAAGAAGTGGCGACTAATGTCTGCTTTTGAGAACGCCAAGAGATTGCGGTTCCTCCAAACATAAAAACATATCCAGTTTGCGATCTAGCTTTATGAGGATCTGATAAATAACCTGCATCTGCAAAACCGACTAAACCAAGTTTGGAGTTTCTAGGGTAAAACAATCCCAAGTCAATTGTTCCTTGAAGATAACGGAATATATGTTTTATTCCATTCCAATGTCTGCGCGTAGGAGACGAACTATATCTTGCCAGTAAATTTGTAGCAAATGCTATATCCGGTCGGGTACAATTTGCAAGATACATAAGTCCACCAATAGCGCTCATATAAGGTACTTCAGGACCTAATATTTCTTCGTTATCTTCACAAGGTCGAAACGGATCTTTTTTCGTATCGAGAGATCGATTAACCATTGGAGTACTCAAAGGAGTCGCTTTATCCATACAAAAGCGTTTTAATATCCTTTTAGTATAATTTGATTGATGTATGAATACTCCATCTCGGAAATGCTCTATTTGTAATCCAAGACAAAATTTTGTCTTTCCGAGATCTTTCATTTCGAACTCTTCTTTCATATGAGTTCTTGCATCATCAATCTCTTTTTGAGTTCCAATAATGTTCAGGTCATCCACATAAACAGCAATGATCACGAATCCTGACGAAGATTTCTTAATAAAAACGCAAGGGCAGATTGCATTATTCACATACCCTTTCTTTAGTAAATATTCGCTTAAGCGATTATACCACATGCGTCCGGATTGTTTTAATCCGTAAAGTGATCGCTGTAACTTGACTGAACATATTTCTTTCGATTTGGAACTTAATGCTTCAGGCATTTTCAATCCTTCAGGGATTTTCATATAGATATCATTATCAAGTGATCCATATAAATATGCTGTCACAACATCCATAAGATACATTTCAAGATTTTTGGATGCCGCAAGACTCATTAAGAATCTGAATGTAATTGCATCCATAACCGGAGAATAAGTTTCTTCATAATCAATTCCCGGTCTTTGAGAAAATCCTTGGGCGACAAGTCGGGCTTTATATCTTGTCACCTCATTTTTTTCATTTCTTTTTCTCACAAAAACCCATTTGTACCCAACCGGCTGTACATCTTTAGGTGTTGTAACAATCGGTCCAAAAACTTTCCTTTTATTAAGGGAGATCAATTCAGTTTCTACGGCCATTTTCCATTTCTCTCCCAATCAGATCTTTTCTGGCATTCTAATATGGACCTTGGATCTGGATCATCAATTTCATATTCAATTTCTTTGCATACAGAGAATGAAAATATTCCATCATTATCTTCTATTTCATCTCTAGCCCATAATATCCCATCTTGGGCATAATTGATGGAAATCTCATGATTTTCTTCGTCATTTTCGTCTTCAAGACCTTTCTCTGTATGTGGTTCTTCTGGACCATTTTCATTTTGTTTTCCCAATTTCTTTTTCTTTCGGGGATTTTTATCCTTTGATCCAATCGGCCTCCCCCTCTTTAACTGAACTTTGGGTTCATTTGCTATTTTTCCATCATTTTGTTCTTCCGGAACATTAATTCTCGATGGAACATTTGCAGCGGGTATATATGACTTTGTCACCCTTTTCGTATCTGTGAATGCATCTGGTATTTCATTTGCCATATTTTGTAAATGAACAATTTTCTGAACTTCGAGTTCACGTTGTTTCGTAGGGGGATCAAGGTGCAACAAAGATGGTGTGCACCATGTAACATCTTTTGGAACTTCTTTAATTCTTCCCCCTAACGCTGGAAATTCATCTTCATTAAAATGGCAATCGGCAAAACGTGCCGTAAACATATCACCAGTTTGCGGTTCAAGATACCTAATTATACTCGGTGACGTATAACCGATATATATTCCCAATCTTCTTTGCGGCCCCATTTTTAATCTTTGTGGCGGGGCTATCGGAACATAAACCGCACACCCGAACACACGCAGGTAGGATACATTTGGCTCCTGGCCAGATGCTAATTGTATTGGGGAATATTTATTATATGAACTCGGTCTTATCTGAAGCAATGCCGCTGCATGCAAGATAGCATGACCCCATACTGAAATTGGGAGCTTTGTTCTCAATATTAACGGTCTAGCAATGAGTTGTAACCGTTTAATCAATGACTCAGCCATGCCGTTTTGTGTATGAACATGTGCAACAGGATGTTCAACATCAATTCCCAATGACATACAATAATCATTAAAAGCTTGGGAAGTGAATTCACCAGCGTTATCAAGTCTTACTTTCTTTATCATATAATCAGGGAACTGTGCTCTCAACCTGATTATTTGGGCAATGAATTTTGCGAAAGCCGTATTACGTGTTGTCAATAAACACACATGTGACCATCTACTGGATGCATCAATTAATACCATAAAATATCGAAATGGCCCGCATTGTGGGTGAATAGGCCCACATATATCACCATGTATTCTCTCTAGGAATACTGGAGATTCATTCCCGATTTTAGCTGGTGATGGCCGAGTTATAAGTTTTCCTTGAGAACAAGCATTACACATAAATTCTCCCAATTGAAAAATCTTCTGGTTTTTCAACGGATGGCCATTAGAATTTTCCACAATTCTCCGCATCATGACTGAACCAGGGTGCCCTAATCGTTCATGCCAGATTTTAAATGTACTTGTAAACTTCGGGTTTACAGTAACATATGATTCAGTCATATTTATCTTTGTGGAATATATTCCGGAGGATAATGCTGGTAATATTTCCAGTACAACTTTTCTCTCCGAAATAACTGATGTAATGCAAAGATATTCAATGCCGTTCTTATTCATAGTTTCTATGTGATATCCATTTCTGCGGATATCTTTGAAACTTAACAAATTTCTGTAAGATCCAGGGGAATATAACGCATCATTTATTTCAAACTTTGTTCTCCTTGGCATTGAAAAACTGACTCTTCCGGAGCCCATAATAATTTTTGCATTACCAGATATTGTATTCACGCTTCCAGCGGAATCTTTCATATTTAGAGAGGAGAAATATTTTTTATCTTTTAATATTGTGTGCGTTGTCGCACTATCTGCCAGACATATATCTCCATCCTTGATATTAATCTCTGACATTTTCTGAATTCAAGATATTTATAAAAGATAAATTAATATAGCAAACAAAAGAGTCTATATTATAATAAAAACCTTTTTACAACAAAAGATACATTTTTTTTAAACATTATATTTTACATTTTTATTTGTCACACTATGTATACATCATGTCACATCTTCTTCTTCGAGAAGATTTTACTCGTTTTATTTTTCGTTGATATCTTCGGGATCAACGATGAAATCAGATATATCGAGATTTGTATCATCGTTTATACCATCAAACGAAAAACTGGATTCACCATGGATGAAGTTGGTTTCACTTTCTTTTCCTTTCGCCTTTTGCGATTCTTGGTACAGATCGGCTAAATGTTTTGGCGTACGACAGGTACGAACCCAATGTCCTTTCATGCCGCATCTGTAGCAAGCACTCTCATGTTGCTTGCGAACAACTTCATTACCCTTGAACTTTTTGTTATTTCTTCCATCGTTTAAATCAGCAGGACGGAATCTTCTTCCTCGTCCACGACCTCGACCACGTCCAAAACCTCGTCCACGACCACGATCATTTCCGCGACCGCGTCCACGTCCACTTTGCCAATTTTCATGGCTTGACGATGCAACATTCACTTCTGGGAATGAAGCTGATCCAGTTGGACGAGATTGATGGTTTAAAATCACGAGTTCATTATTTTGTTCTGCCACCAAGAGAACTTGCATTAACTCCGAATACTTCTTGTATCCGTTTGCCCGGTACTGTTGCTGCAGGACTACGTTTCCAGGATGAAATGTTGAGAGAGTTTTCTCAATCATATCATGATCACTTATATTTTCTCCACACAACATTATCCTGGAAGTGATTCCAAATAGAGCGGAGTTATACTCACTAACGCTCTTATAGTCTTGGAACCGGAGGTTCAACCACTCATGTCTAGCCTTTGGTAAGATCACATATTTCTGGTGATCAAACCTATCTTGGAGTGATTGCCAAAGATCTGCAGGATCTTCTTTCGTGATATATTCATCTTTTA